TGTATAGTAAATGCAATTACTTCAAATTTGTGGAGTTAAGATGTATTTGTGAATAAATGATTGTGATTCAACTGGGTGAGAGAATTTAGATCTATATCTCTTAACATATATAATCTTCAAATTAATATTTAAGTGTAAAAAATAAAACTACACCTGTGTTCAAAGAAAATATAGGTAAATAATTTTATAAAATTGCAGCAGGGAAAATTTTCTACTTATGGCCCAAAACCTAGAAACTATGAAATTATAAGCTGAGAAAATCAACTATAAATACATTAAAAAACATCTTCATGGCAAAAATTATCATGCAAAGACAAAATAAGAATATGTCACAGGAAACATATTAATATCCCTAGAGAGATCATCAAGAAATCAATATGAAAAGGATCAACAGTTCATAGCTAAATGAGCAGAGTATAAACATAATTCATAGAAAAATGGATACAAATAGTCTTAAGCAGATGAAAAGATTGTAACTTTACTCTAATTAAGGGATACGCAAACTTCTAAAGATTAACCACACAGTAGTTGATAGAACAATGTAGAAAAGGCATTCTCATAAGTTGTTGGCAAAAATATGAAGAAGAACAACTTATATAAAATTGGCAATATCTCTTGAAATTACAAATGTATCATGCTTTGATTCTGCAATCTCTCTGGGATCTATCCTATAGTATATGAACATGTGCAATTTAAGTGTACAAGATTAGTTATTGCAGTGTCTTTTGTCACTGTAGCATATTTGCATACTTTAGAGTTTAGAAGCAATAAATTTAGGTACAACTACATTCAAAAAAAATATAATGGAGTACTTAATAAAATGAATAATCTCTTTGTTCTGATAATAAATAATCTCTAGAATATATTTTTAGATTATGAAAAGTTCAGAACAGAACCTAATAAAGGGCAGGAGAGAATATATATTAGTATCTCTTAGAATGTGCATAAAGAAACAATGGGGGAATACACAAAAGACTGACAAACATTGGTTTCACATAGAATAGCTATGATGAAACAATACAAAGAATAGAACTAAGACTTCTCATTGTATACCTTTCAAATTGCTTTGATTATTACATGAATTATCAATTTAAATATAAAATTAATATAAAATAATAACATATGATATAAATAAAAATACTATTGCATATACATATATAACTTTTACAGAATATGTTAATATAAGCAACTGAAGTAAATAAACAGTATTTAAAACAGAAAAGAGTTTCACATTTATTCTTATAAAGAATTTACCTAAATAATTATTTCATGAGGGAATAACTTCAGACATTTACTATAATCATAAAATAATAAATATAGATGCCTTGTATACCATTTTAGCCACTTCTTTATTTGTACAGTTGTATGATAAAACATAACTATATCTAATCATAACAATAATAAAATAATACTTTTAAGGTTGCATAGAACAGAAAGCAAAAATACCTGTTCACCTTCTGCATATTGCTAATTTGAAGTTCTAGGAAGTTTACCCTATTTGCATACTATTAATATAGTATAGATGGAGAGTGTCTGTGGCTGCATGGTTTATAAAAAGCACTGTTTAATTTTTAGTGTTCCTTGGGGAAGTTTATTTTGGTTTCCTTTCTTGATGAGAGTGGTAAAGCTCCAATAAAAGTCAACCAAGGCTAAAATCAATAGCATCATCAGTCACTTGCTGCTTCTCAGGCCCGCGTGTTCTGCTGTAGCATTCAAAGTTGTGCCTGTGAAAAATGGAGCTTTAACCTTGGAAGCTAGAGCAATTGAATACTAAAATGGATTTGACTACTTTAGAAGAAGTCTTTCAAAAGCCTTCTAGATTCTTCTGGTGACAAAATATTTACTCCTACAAAGCTTCAACTCTAAACTGAATGAAAATGACGAACTTAGAAACTTTCAGGAAAATGTATAATGAAAATATGCCAAAACGGACATCACAGACAAACACGAAGCAACAGACAAGAATACAACCAGGTCTGTGGTTATTATTGAAGGTGGGGTGATGGGCAATTAAGAGAGAGAAACAGATCCTGCCCAATATTCCCTCAGAGTTTTGATGGAGAAAGGGCTGAATGCTCAAAACAAGAAAATGGAAAGGTTAAACATTTTAAATTAGCAAGAAGGCAACAAAAGAAGGAAGGTGGAGGTAGGAACAGTAACTATTTGGTGCATATTCAAATGATTCATTGAGCTTTGTAAGAGGGGACCAAAATAATAATCCAATAGCCACATTACCTTTCATTTGGCCTTCATATTTCTATCCTTTATAAACAAGTCTTTTAAAATGGGTGGGGTAGTGATATTAGAGCTTGGCAAAGAAAATTAGTATTAATAATTTAAAGCTTGACTTACCAGCATGTAATGGACCACCGGAGGGATTCCATAAAATAGCTGCAAGCTGTCATCTTACACAGGGGTAGGAGCTTCTAATCAGTGATTAGATTTGTTAGTTTCAGTTCCCTGGACCTACATTTTGTTGTTATTGTTTGTTTCCTTGCTTCCCTCCAGTAAAGGGTCAAACAGCAACATATCTTGGAAAAACATAAATAAATTAGTAGTTTATAATAATTACTTTTAACATTTTCTTTTAAGTTTTAGGTGTTTTTAGGCAGCTGAAAGAAGATTTGGCATCTAGTCATTACATGAAGGTTTAAAATGAAATCGAGGACACTCTAAAGTGACAGATGGAACTTCGACTGTTCACAGTGAGAGAGGGATGAGGGTTCTTAGTGCACTGAATTTCAAATACAGTGATTGTAAAAACTATGAATTTGAAAAGATGTGTTCCTTTCTCTTTAAATCCATGCCAGTATCTATTGTTTTGGGACTTTTTGATAAAAGCCATTCTCACTGCCATTAAGTGATATTTCATGGTGGTTTTGATTTGCATTTCGCTGATGATTAGTGATGTTGAGCATTTTTTCATATCTTATTAGCCATTAGTCTATCTTCTTTTGAAAAGCTTTTGTTCATATCTTTTTCCCACTTTTTAATGTGGTTGTTTGATTTTTTCTTGCTGATTTGCTTGAGTTTTTCATAGATTCTGGTTGTTACTCTTCTATCAGATGTATAGCTTGCAAATATTTTCTCCCATTCTGTAGGTTTTCTCCTTGCTCTGCTAATTGTTTCTGTGGCTGAGCAGAAGCTTTTTAATTTAATCAAACCCCTTTTATTTATTTTTGTTGTTGCTGTGATTGTCCTTGGGTTCTTTTTCTTAATTTCTTTGCGCAGGCCAATATCTAGAAGAGTTTTCCCAACATTTTCTTCTATCAATGTTATGATTTCATGTCTTAGAGTAAAGTAAGTTATCTTGAATTAATTTTTGCAAGTGGTGATAGATATGGATCCTGTTTCAATCTTCTACACATGGCTACTCTATTTTCCTACCACCATTTATTGAATAGGGCTTCTTTTCACCAGTGTATATCATTATCTGCTTTGTCAAAGATCAGATGGCAATATGTTAGTGGTTTTATATCTGGGTTTTCTGTTTTTTTACATTTGTCTATGTCTCTATTTTTGTGCCAATACCATGCTATTTTGGTTGCTATAGCTTTGTAGTATAGTTCGAAGTTTGGAAACATGATACCTCCTGATTTTTTCCTTTTGTTTAAAATTGCTTTGACTATATGGGCTCTTTTCTGTTCCAAAGGAAGTGTAGAATTATTTTCTCAAGATCTGTGAAATATAATGTTGATATTTTGATGGGGATTGCACTGAATCTGTAAAACACTTTGAGTAGTATGTACATTATAACAATTTTGATTCTACCAATCCATGTGCATGATATGTTTTTCAACTTGTTTACATCATCTGCAATTTCTTTCCTCAGTGTTTTCTAATTCTTTTTGTAGGGACCTTTCACCTCTTTGGTTAAGTATATTCTTAAATATTTTATTTCCTTTTTAGCAATTATGAATGGCATTTAGTCACTGATTTGACTCTAAGCTTGACCATTATTGGTGTATTGGTGTAACTTTATTCATATACATTCCTTTATTAACCTGAGTCTTTATTACTGAATTTATTTATTGATTCCATAGGTTTCTTGGTGGAATCTTTGGAGTTTTCTAAATATAAGATTATATTGTTTGCAAAAAGCAATAGTTTGAAATCCTCTTTCCCAATTTGGATACACTTAATTTCATTTGTTTGCCTGATTACTCTGGCTAGGACAGCTAGTACTGTGTTCAATAGAAGTGGTGATCGTGGACATCCTGCCCTGTTCTAGTTCTTAGTGGGAATGCTTTCAACATTTTCTCATTCAGTATGATGTTGACTGTGAGATGTCTTATATGGCTTTTTAAATTTTGAATTATGTTCCTTTTATGCCTAGTTTGTTGAGGGTTTTTATCATGAAAGTTTGCTGAATTTTGTCAAATGCTTATTCTGCATCTATTGAAATGATCATATTATGGTTTTGCTTCTGTTTATGTGGTAATCACATTTATTGATTTGCATATGTTGAACCATCCTTGTATCCCTGGGATGAAGCCCGTTTGGTCCTGGTGGATTATTTTTAGATGTGCTATTGAATTCGATTTGCTTGTAGTTTATTGAGGATTTTTGCATCCATCTTCATAATGAATATTAGTCTATAGTTTTCTTTTTTTATATTGTTTTTTCCTGGCTTTGGTATCAAGGTGATACTAGCTTTCTAGAATGAGTTGGGGATTATTCCCTCCTTCTTGATGTTATAGAATATTTTTTGCAGAATTTGTACCAACTCTTCTCTATAGGACTGATAAAATTCAGCTGTGACTCCATCTCCTTAAGGGCTTTATTTTGGTGAAAGATTTTTTATTGCTTCTTCAATCTCATTGCTTATTATTGGTTTGTTCACTTCTATTTCTTCCTGATTGGGTCTTGGGAGGTTTTGTTTCCAGAAATTTGTCCATTTCCTCAATATTTTTGAGTTTATGTTCATAGATGATTTCAGAGTGTTCACATGATATTTTGTATTTCTATAGTATCAGTTGTAATACCACTTTTTCATTTGTGCAATTGAGCTTATTTTTTTCCTTTCTCTTCTATTCCTTGTTAAGCTAGCAAGAGGTCTATCAATTTTGTTTATCTTTTCAAAGAACTGACTTTTTGTTTTTGATCCGCTGTATTAGTTTGTTTATGAATTAATTTATTTCTGCTCCGACCTTACTTATTTCTTTATTTATTCTGCTGGCTTTGGGTTTGGTTTGCTCTGCCTTTTCTAGTTTCTTGAGACATGTCGTTAGACAGTTGATTTGTGATCTTTCTATCTTTTTTATGTAGGTGTTTAATACTATGAATTTTCCCCTTAGGGCTGTTTTTGCTGAATCCCATAAAGTTTGACAGGTTACTTCCCCTTTGTCATCCACTTCAAGGAATCTTTTAATTTCCATCTTAATTTTATCATTGATCCAATAATCATTCAGCCATAGGTTGTTTAATTTTCACGACTTTGTATAGACTTAAGTATTTCTTTTGTAGTTGATTTCCAGATTTAATCCACTGTGATCTGAGAAGATACGTGTCGTAATGTCTACTCTTTTGAATTTTGGGGACCATGACTTCTGCTGAGAGCACAGCCTTCCTGTGGGGGGAGGAGTGCTCCATGAATGTGCTGGGGCTAGGATCCAAACTGCATTCTCCTCTCCGTTCTGCCCACACAGGCTCTGTTGCCTCCTGAGATAGTTCAAAAATCTCTCCTCCATGCTCCTGAGCAATAAGATCAAGACCTGGTTGGTTCAGGATCCCACCTATAGGCCTGTCCCCAGGTCCTCAAAGATCAATCCATGACCATGCCAGGAAGAAGCATGCTGGTCCCAAATTGCCTATGAGGTGCTAAAGCAGGTTTGACGTCCCTCCACTTCATGGTGTGCCCTGCTCTGATGGAGCCACCATGCAAGCAGCATTGGGGGGAGCCTAGTGAGCAAGGAGCTCATAATCTGAGCACCCCTCAGTCTGCTGCAGGACCTTAAGAGGAAAGGTTTGAGCACCATTCTCTGTGGAAGCCTCAGTGTGGTGGCTCAGTTGTCTCTTTCAGCAGCCATGGCCCGGGAGGAGGGGGCAAAGTGGGAGGAAAAGAGTCTGGATGGAGGAAAGCTAACATTCTGGTCATCTCTGACCCTCCCTCTGGAAGGCAGCCCACCTGGAATGTCCAGGCTCTGGCATCATGCACAAGCCCTAGGACTCACTGGACTCATGTGGCTCCAGCAATCTAGGCCAGAGTTGGAAAATGTCTGTGTGAGAATGAGCAAGATGAAACCTGAGGAGTTGAAGCTCCCTAGGGAGGACAAAGGCACACGGTGTTTAGATAAGTAATACAGTGCCGCCATCCAGGCTTGGGTCTGTGTTAACAAGAAGTACCCCAGGAGAGCTGGGAGCCTGGTGCTTTGTCCACAAGAAGCTCCCAGTTCACTGGTGGCAGTGAGTTTTTGGGCTCAGGAGGGAATAAAATCTCTCCAGGAGCTTGGAAACCCACTGTCAGAGTTGTGAGGGAGCAAAAAACAAAAGCACTTCACCCACTCTTTTTGCTGGACTCCAAGCCTCTCAGGGGTTGATCTCTTCTGATATTTTGCTTCTTCTTGTTCTACTCCTCAACTTCTTCCCATGGAGTCTTTTGTAGTCTCAGGCACCCTTCCCTCAAAATTACACCCGATCTATGTTTGTTTGTTTCTTCTTTTTCATCTAAAACTTTTCCTTCTGACTGAGATGCTCTGGCAGCTGGTGTCTCTGGTCAGCCATCTTGAATCACATCTATGCTTTCTTTACAATTGGAGACATGACACAGAGTAAGTGCTCAGTGACTATTGAATTAATGAGCATAATTGATCAAGCAACCCAACAATCAAAACAGAAGGTTTTTATCTTCTATTTGGAATCAAGGTATGAAATTATATAGTTGATGCTCTAGAGGCAAATTTCCCAAGAAAATTTGGTCATTGAAATTTTTGTTTTTATGTTGCTTGACAGTCTTATGCACATTCTCTGATTTGTAGATTTTTGGGGTAATAGATATATTTGCCTAGCACAAAGAAGAACAGATCATATACAAAACCTAAGAAATTGTTTTAGGATCTTCAATATCTTTTCTAGACTCCAGTAAGCTTATTATAGAACAGTTAATCTCTATCAAGAATACATGGCGATTCTTCTAAAAAAGATCATCTTGCTAGCCCATTTTTGCAATGCTGAAAATATCACTTGCCTAAGAGAATATACAAGTATATGGAGGAAAGGTGTTTCTTTTACACATCTGAATTTATTTTATATATAAAACTATATTTGTTGCCACAACTCTATTGGCTAGGCATTATTATCAACATGACACACATGAGTAAACGAAGCTTCTAAGAGGATAAATACCTTGCCAAAATTTCTCAGCTGGTAACTGATGGAGCTAAGATTTAAAACCAGGTCATCAAACTGTGAACAAAGTTCATACTCTTAAGCACTTCCCTACTACTATTCGTAGTTCAGACTAGGATTTTATTTTTGTATCTGAAATAGGCTTGAGAGTTACGTTGTAACCCAGGGTTTTCACAGAGCAGAGTGATGTACTGGCCCCATTTCATGAGAAATGCAGATAGAAATGGCCACAGATGGGTAAAAAGTTGAGAAGAAAAAAAAAAAAAACATGACTTTTTTCTACCTTTATGTCCTTCCTCATTATGTTTCTGACCTTAATGAAATTTCTGCCTAGAAAAGAGTAATCTTGATTCAAATTGGACAGAACTACACCAGCCTTGGTCAATAATATGACACTCTGGACACAGGGATTTAATAGCCTCATTAAGCCTAAT